CCCGCAGGGAATGATTGTTTCCCATTCCCACATTCGTTTTTGCAGTGGGAAAACTGAAGGGGGCAATATGGTGTTGAGCTCTGGATTAGTCGTAGCTCCAAGATCGCAGATGGAATTGTTTTTCACCCAGGCGAGTTCTTGGTTGCTTTTGCTGATCCCAGAATTTTGATTGTCAAGTACCGTGGCCAGCTTGGGGAATTTTGTTTTCTAGTAGCACATGCTCCCCACACAGCAGCTGATCCTCTAGAAAGGCAGCAGTGGTGGGAAGGCCTTCAGAAGCAACTTTCGACCAATGCTAGTGCTCTCGAATGTGTGGCCTTTATTGACGCAAATGCCACGGCTCCACGTGAAGTTACCACGAGTTTCGGGGGCTTCACACGAGATCATGCCAACAAGAATACTCCTTTTTTTGAGAACTTCGTGAGTCAGAATGGTCTTTTTGTGCCTTCAACCTTTGAGGATCTCCAGCATGGTCCCCCAGAGACTTGGACACACAGTGCCACTGGCAAGAAGTCTAGAATAGACTATGTCTTGTTGCCACTCTCTTGGAGATGGGCACAAATCCAAGCTTGGGTCGATGAGGGCATCCACGCAGGACATGCTGGATTAGACCATGACTGCACATGTTTGGGTATATCTTGGAACCAAATGACACATCACAGACCCAAAGAGAAAAGAATTGATGAAACTGCATTAAGGAATCCGGATAACCAAAGCATCGTCAGATCGATCTGGGCAACATGCCCGGAGCCAGAATGGGGCATGAACGCTTCACAGCACGCTGCATTGGTTACGGATCACCGACAGCAGGAAGCGCTCCGACATTTTCCGAAGAAAACAGGCAAACGACACCGAGAACATGTTTCAGAAGAAAGCCGTGAGCTTCATCGAAGACTGACTTGTATTCGTAGAGCTCTACGCACTTTGAAGAGACATGATGATTTCTCACTGTGCGTTGCCATTTTCCGAGCATGGAGTGCTTGTAAGAAAGGTAAAGGTTTCAATGGTAATTGGGGAACATGGAACAAATTGCTTTCGCTTGCTGTTGTGAGGCATGTCAGAGAGCTCAAGTGTGTCTCTCTGCAGTTTCGGAAGCAACTGAGGACTGACCGTAAGATGTTCCTTCTTGGTGTCGCCGAAGATGCAAAACGCGCCAAACCAAGTGAGGTATTTGCAGCCTTGCGACCGATCCTTCAGCCTGCGAAAAAAACAAAAGATGTTTCCAAAACCCCTCCCTGTTTTGCAAGACGAGGATGGACACATCCTGCAAACATTGGAAGAAGTGAATGCTTGATGGGTCCGGCATTTCTCCCAACTCGAAGCAGGAAGAGAAGTCGATGTTTCAGATTATGTGAACAACATGCTTCGGAGGCAACAAGAATTGTGCAAGCCAGGTGAGTATAGACTGGAAGATTTACCAAGTCGCATGGATCTGGAAAGAGCGATCCGGAAAATGAGCTATCGAAAGGCACCTGGACCGGACAGGTTAAGCATGTCCGGGGGACGCAGCAGGTGTGTTATATCCCATCGTCCTCAAAATGATTTGCAGATTGGAGGAACCATTGCAATGGAAAGGGGGACAGATCATTTCTCTCTTCAAAGGCAAAGGGTCGCAGTCTGACTGCCAAAACCACAGAGGAATCCTTTTGACCTCAGTGCTTGGCAAAGCTGTCAGACCCTCCATTCGAGATCGGCTTAATGAGCCCTATCTTGCTGCGACTGACGACCTCCAACTTGGAGGCAAGCCCACGCAGCAAGTTCTTTTCGGCACCCAGGTGTCCCGACTTTTCGTTGACCGGGGAAAGCGCAGACAGAAAAGCACAGCGATCCTTTTCTGCGACGTCCAGTCGGCCTATTACCGGGTCTTACGTCAAATCGCGACTGGGGCCAGACTAACGGATGAGGACCTCGCTTTGGTTTTGCACCGCATGGGTCTCGGTCCAGAGTCCATGTCACTCATCCACGAAAGCATAACCATATCAAGAACTTGGAGCTGGCCCAGTACAACACCAAGTTTTGCAAGAAACACTTGAAGGCACATACTTTACACACACTGGAAATGAGTTCGTGCAAACATTTCGAGGCACCCGGCCACGTTAGCGGACATAGTTTTCAATCTCGTTTTCTCACAGGTTCTCTCAGAAGTCCAGACAGAACTTGCAGATAATGGACTCCTTCTGCATGTTCCACTATGGGACACACGAGATCCCTATAGCAGTACTGCAACAGATCGTGCATTGCCCATGTTCCAAGTCACTTGGGCGGATGACTTAGCTATTCTAGCCGAGTTTGAACATGCTGCACAGATCGAAAACCGACTAGCACTAATTGCATATGTTCTGCTGCAGAAGCTGCCAAAATATGGCATGAAGGTGTCTATCGGTGAAACCAAAACAGCAGCAGTGGTTTCTCCCAGAGGACCAGGAGCGGTCTCCATGCGAAGGAGACTCTTTGCTGTAACAAATGCAACTTTCCCAATACTGCTAGAGGACACGACGGTTCGTTTGCCACTCGTGCCTAAGTATCGCCATCTTGGAGGGATTATTGATGCCAGTGGAAGCTTGCTTCCTGAGATCCGCACGAGATTCTCTAAGGCACGCTCAGCTTTCTGGAGAGCTGCCAAGCATGTCTTCAGACAGCAGAGCATCCCACTTGCAACACGAATGACCATTTTTCGCTCTACTGTGATGTCCATTATGACATGGGGCGCGGGAGCTTGGACCGAACTCAATCAGAGGGAAGGTCAGGCTTGGACTGCGTCACTCTGGAATCTATATGCAATGATGCTACCGCGTTCATTTCTGGCTCCTTCTCGCGTTCATTTCTGGCTCCTTCTCGGGATGACATTCGATGTTTCCTTGCATGTGAAGATCCAGATGACATGCTGCAGATTGCAAGGTTCAGATATTTTGGTGCATTGCTGCGTACAGCGCCTGATATTTTGTGGTCACTGGTTGCAGATGATTCTAGTGCAATGCATATGTACCGTGAATCACTCAAGTGGGCCCAGACTCTGCTTGACAGGGACTCCGTTGTACAGGATGTCTGTGATGGAACTGCGTGGCAAAGATTAGCAGAGCAGCCCGCACAGTGGGCAAGACATGGTCGAACGGCCTTGTTCAGAGCAACGCAAGCGAAACTGCGGAATGCTGCAACGGCTAAGGCCCATAGGACCATTTTCGACATTCTCCGAAGTCAGGCACTTACCTTGTCGCTGGATCAACCCATGCAGGGTCAACATTTTTGTGTGATCTGTGAACGGGCTTTTTCTGCAACGCAGGGATGGTTTCTACATGCTCGTCAGAAACACAATTATGTGAGTGAATCCAGTGAGGCAGTACAGGGACAGACATGTCACTGCTGTGCAAAGGTTTATTTGTCGCAGGAGCGATTACGGCATCACCTTCGCTATAGTGCATCTTGTAGAGCCTTTTTCCAACAAAATCGAGACACACTTCCTGAATCTGCGAGCTCATGCTCAAGACATCCTCAGTTCCCCTGGTATCGGCTTCGGCAGGATACCTTCGCGGGACCCAGTCGGACTGATAGAGATGCTGAACGAGTTCGAGCTCTTCTTCAAGAAGCGATTCACACATTCATGTGTCCAGAACGGGAAGAAGACTTTGTGGATCAGCTGACTTCCACCTTACAAGAAGCATGTCGAGTGGCGGTGCCATTTACCACACTATGCAGTAGCCTTCACTCTTGGGTCTAGGGATTTGAGTCCACAGACACCAGGATTTACCAAGCTGGTTGTGCTGTCCACCGTTGGTTGCTTGACTTCGGACAAACAACTTGTGTGTCAAATACCCATGGACAAGAGGGAAGACTTGCAGATGAGGCTGACCGGCGTTCAGTCAAATGCAGACCCTCGGAGCCCAAGCTGCGAAGTTTTCTTCCGACTGAATTGATTATTTTACATCTGTTCAGTGGTCGTCGAAGAGAACGAGACATTCAGATGGAGTTGGAGCGTTTGCCGCTCCCTTCTGGAGTTGTGATGACTGTCGTATCAGTTGACGTCGCTATCGACCCTGCGCGATGCGACTTGTCTCAAGAACAGCAGCAAAAGTTGTGGTATGATCTGATCAGGGGAGGCTATGTAGCAGGGCTGTACGGTGGGCCGCCCTGTGAATCCTGGAGTATTGCACGCTGGGAAAGTCTTCCAGAACACCTACAACGAGGGCCACGACCGGTCAGATGTGACCCCTCTCTCTGGGGCCTAGATTCCTTATCTAAGTGTGAGGGCCAGCAAGTCTCAATAGGAAATATTTTGATGCTTTTTTGCCTGAGAGCTGTTTTGCTGCAGGCAACGGCTGGTGGTTTTTCTTGGTTAGAGCACCCCCGGAATCCTCATAAAAGTGGGACGCGGCACAAGAAAGCACCCTCCATTTGGATGACGCAGGTCATTAGATGGTTTCAGGAAACGAATCTTTTCGTTTTTTTTCGATGTGCTGCAAGGGTATTTTGGCGCGGACAGCCCAAAACCAACCACTCTAATGCTGTCCGGGGTTGAGCTCGCCGAGGTGCAAAACTGCGAACAGACAATGCGCAGTGCCACCTGTGCTAAGGGTTCCAACATTGGTCTGAAAGATGGAAAGTGGCGTACTGGTCACCTTAAGGAATACCCACCTGAGTTTTGTTCCTTTGGGGCCCATCTTTTCAGACTCTGGTTGGACCGGCAGCCTATCAGGACCGAAGTGTTCACAGAGCCACTGGAATGGCTGCGAAGTCTTGTACTGGCATTTGAAGACCAGCGACTTCCTGAACCTGGTCCTGATTTCTTCCATGCAGGTAATTAACTAATTCACATCAGCAAGACGCTGAGCTTTACGAGCACGATGCGTCAATGGAAATGGAAAATGGAAAAAATGGGTATTTAGGAGTAACCATTCCGGAGTGGGTCTCCGGAGCTCGGATCGGTGCCCTTTTTTCGGGTCCATCCATCACCTCGTGGCCAAGGGGGGAGACCGTTGGAGCGAGCTCCGCCTTTTGAGTGCCAGGACCCAGTGGATAGCATGGATCCAAAGCCGCGTGGATGAGAATGATGGATTGCCCCACATTTGTTGGGGCACAAACGGGTAGAGCTTAGGAGGAAGAAGCTGGTGTAAGTGTGTGACTGTGTGTCTTTTTCATTCTTTTCCTTTGCACATGCATCATATTAGGATGATACATGTACAGTGATGTGCATGTGCAAATCACCTGCGCCGGATGTCCGGATTTCGCTCCCGCGAGGAGGAAAACGCACGCCGCGTGCGACACGTTCGGACCCTTCCGCGAGGTCGGACACGTTGGCGTTCGACGTGAGGTATAAAGAGGATCTTCCTGCGGACCTGAAGCAGCAAGTCATAGAAGTGAAGGATAAGTTGCCAGACCAACTGGTCGATGTGTGCCCTGGACGGAAAGAGAGGATCGACAGTCGGTCTTCTTTCTTTTGGAGAGCGGGACGCGAAGATTTGTTCTGTTTGTTGAGCAGTCTGATTTGTCAGCTCTATGGAAGCGAGGGATCCGCCAGGTTGAAGAGCGCACTTGATTTCTGCATGGGATTCCAGCGGCTGTATACATAAAATTTTGATAAAACAATTTTTTGTGGATATAATTGACAATTGTTTAATTTTTTTTATTTCTATTTCTATTTTTATTGTTTGTTGTTTTGTAAATGTTTAAATAAACATTATTGTAATATTTTTCTATTAATAATTGGCTTGATGTTGGTATTAGTTTGTACATTCCATCGATTAATGAAACATTTACTACTTACACCTTTTTTTTTGAATCTATTATTAAAATCGATATTGTTGATTAATATTGCTATTCATATACAACTTATATTATCATTATATGAACCATAATCCCAAATCTTTAAATTTAGTTGATTATTTAACCAGAACAAATTTATGAATGTATTAGCACGATGGCGCAGGATGGTGCACTTGATTCCAGCTGTGTTTTGATGTACCACCACCTATGACAACCCTCATCAACCCTCCCCAAAAGGCAGACGTACCGTGGCCTCCTCGACCCGGGTGGCGACGTGGTGCAGCCCGTACCGAGGCTGGGCACCTTCGGCGAGACGCGGCTCACCGAGACCTACATCGGCGTCGACTACGTGGGGTTGGCCCGGGGACAGGGTGGAGATGAGGTGATGAGACACAGAGACAGGTGTGATGAGGGGGTGCCCACCGAGGCGATGTCGCAGGAGGAAGCAGTGGAGAAGTTATGAAACACATGAAAAAGCTGACTGAGAACATAGAAGAACAGGACAAAAAATGTCAAGTCTACTCTGCAAATGCATGGTCCTTGTCCCTCAAATCCAGGTCTTCCAAGACATTCAGACTGGATCATGTTGTCAATCTCCAGTTCCGGATCAAGGGGAATCATGTCATGTTGGAAAGCATGATCAGAACCCGAACTCGTTCGGGCAACCTGGAGGCCTCTCTTAAACAGACGACCGTCGAGCCGTCGACGTGGCCGGCTTCGTTAAACACCAAGTCAGGCTCGAGCCTGCCTTGCTGGCCTGCCTTGAATCGCCTCACCTAGGAGATCTTGACGATCCTGCAATCGGTCAGAGAAACCCTAGAGATCAACGATGAGATCTTCGAGGACCGGATCGACTGACGGTACACCGACATAGTATCTCATATATCTCAGTACCTTTTTGGTACAGGGAAGGGCCTTCTTGGGCCAAGAATGAAGATATATGAATGGTAAACATATATACCAACACCACGGAAGAGGTTGTTATTGGATGGAATATACATAGTCAGGAGTGTTATACAGCACCCTTTCTGTGTGGGTGATGTAAACTCCACACAAGATTCCAAACATATTATGTATATATATATATACATCATACATCTTTTGCTTTCGTAGAATGCCAAATAAGATGCAAAACAACAACGACCAGGAGATCGAAAAGCACCTCCCTCGAGATCTGCTGATGAAGCATTGGGCTGCCGTTCGGGGCTCCCGGCCGGAACCCGTTCGCAGCCGGGGAACCGGTCGAGTCCGGACTCGGCTCGAGCGGTCGAGTCCGTGGCCAAGGTCTATAAGCTTCTGCGCGACTGAGCGGTGGAGAATGACCTGATCTCGCGACTGAGCGGTGGACGTTGCAGTTGTCTTCCTCGAAGTCACCCGGAGACTCCGAATTTCTTCAGCTTAAAGGGATCGTAGACGTTTGCATTGGGCCGCGATGCAGTACTTTGCCAACACAGAACACATAGCTGAGATATGCTGAAATGCATGCTGAACTATGATGAACTACGCTGAAATGACTTCCATGCAAGTCGAAGATGAAGATATGCAAGTCGGTTCCATGTTCAGGTTTTTTGACGCATGCGTTCGATCTCATTTGACCACCGACGAAACATGTTCAGTTGTTTTCAGGGCACGGGACGAAACGAAACCAACTCCGCAGTGACTCGGGCTGCCTCTCCGAGTGACCCGACACCCCCCCAACGCGACGCAACGTCGCCGCCCGTGTCACCGCGACGTCCGGGGTGGGGTACGGAAGTTCGACCGCACCCCGGACGTTCTCGGAATCCCATTCACCGGTGAGAAATACGGTGAGACAATGGCGAACAGTAGAGGAACAGTAGAGATGTTCTGCGCTTTTGAGAAGCAAAGACTTTGCGGTCAGAAGTCACATGGACAGAAGTCACATGGACAGAAGTCACGGGTCACATGTAATTCACGGTGTCTTTTTCTTCCACTCATACCTGATACATGGGGGGGTAGTAGTGGCTCGCTGCTCAGCCCGGTCGGTCGGATTCCTGATGCATCTGACATTGGCATCGGGACAGGGGATATAAAGGAAAACAGTATGGCTCTGGGCCCGGATATATACCTTGATTGACCTACCTTGGAGGTCAAGCTACCTGGTATTGGGTTTTGACCTGTGCCCAAAAATCATTTTACGGCCTCGTGTTTGCCTTTGTTGCGACAAACATGCATCCAAAGACTGAAGAAATCAGCTGGAGGTGGACGAAAGACGTGGTCGGCGAAGAAATTTGGAGGGTGAACCGATAGCTCCTTCATCGGGCGCAGATGTGTCAGGTAACACCGTATATATATATATATATATGCGTTTTTTGGCTTTGTATGTTTATATGAGCCACGGTCAAAACATGCAAAGACCACCTTAGTAAAGAGGGGTAGGTTTGTGCACAAAGCCCTGCAAAACGATAAGGTCCAACTCAAAACTGATGACGTCCCTTTTTTTAGTTGAATTCTAAGAATAATAAGGAGTTTTGACCGTCCCTCATATGGCTTCATGCAGGGTAACACCATGTACTGTAACAGCCCTGCACCTCTATGAATAGACATATTCTCATCTCCCATGCCAAAAGCTTGCAGTACTGCTAGCATCACGCCAAGATGAGGCAAGTTTCGGGTGGCCAGATGCCGTCGTGAAGAGATCAAGTCCGAGCATCAAAGAGCATGAAATATCCTGAACCCAGGCGCGCCATGCGCGTCTCTACACACGGAGATACTGCGGTATCTGGTTGAGCCTGGCCAGCTCAATTGCTTTGCCCAGGAAGAAACCGAGCGGAAAAGCGGTCCTTCGTGAGAAAAGAGACCGTTTTTGCGCCGCCATTCTCTGCCGGGTGTTGCTAGACTTTTGGGTGGATTGGGGAGCGGGCGTCTACCCAACGGTTCACCGGTTGGCGAAGGCAGGGTCTGGACCGAAGGCGATTCACCATGTGTTGAAACTAAGTGTTTACAGATTTCGGGACCGAAGAAGTCCTCTTTAACAAGGCTGCTGTAACAAGTCCTCAGCACATGTCATGCTGAAATAATCCGTCTCCATTTGTCGACATAATAGATTGACCAGACCCATCTTTGGAGGCCCCAAAAGCAGATATAAGCAGATTTGCACTTCTCTAGGGATCCACTGCCACCTTCTCAGGAGGTACGACTGGGCCCTCCAAGCCGCAAGCCTACATAAATAGTCTCCGTCCTCACCGTGCTGAAGGTACGACTGGATCCCTACATCAACTTCAGTGTACCTTGAGGTACAATCAGTGCTCAGATGTTGAACAGTTCGGACTGGATCCCTACATCTACATCCCTTTCGTTGTACAGAACTTCCTTTTTATCAATTTGAAGCCTTTCGTGTAACTGCGGTTGACTGGACCTCCTCCGTGATGTACTTCCCACCGTCCGCGAGAGCGCGGAGCCGTCTTCGTCTCGTTCGGATGATTGGGGTGCGCGGAGCCGAAGTCTCTGTTTCTTTGGGATCTCATTGAAGATGGCCGCCACTGGTGATATTTCCGCCTCCGAACTCATGGCAGACAGATTCAGATCCCTTGGGGAATCCGACTGGTGACGACTTCGGTCATAGCAGTTCCCCCCAAAAAGTCAGACCGAAGTGGTTGTTGGGAACGCAGAGTCTGCTCGCCACGTGGGTTCAAGCGCACTGCATCGCACTGCATCGCACTGCATCGTCTGCGACGGCGAGAAGGATCGTTCAGCTCGACGTGCGAACGCCATGGCTGAAGTCGAAGTGATGAACCCAGTCGAAGTGCTGAGCTATTGGCTTCATCATTGACATGCAATTGGACAAGGAAGTGTCGAAGCCATGGACCCATGTTGCACCGGTATTGATCATGAATGACATGTAGTTACTTTCTCTTACTGTTCTTTGGATGACTAATTAATTAGTGAAGGACACCCCAGGACTTTCAATTCTTTCGGGAGGGAAGCTCCGAGCCTGCCCCTCAGGCCAAGCTGGCTGAGTTGGAGAAGCGCTTGGCTGCTTTGGAAGGTGAGGGGAACGAGTTTGATTTCTCAGAGATGGAACTGATTTGAGGTGATCTCAGAATTCCGTTTCAGGCTGAACTCCGTTGGAAGGTATTCATTCCTACTAGTAACAAAGGGCATCGCTACTAGGAGCAAGGACGCTACTAGTAGCTCCTGGCATTACTACTAGTAACAAGAAGCTTTTCGGTTGAAAATCAATCACTCTTCCATTCAGACAGACCGATGACTGTTGGGACCCAGAACAGCCGACGGAGAACAGCAGGCTGCGCTGAAGAAAAGATGGTACCCAGAACAGTTCCACCTAGTATAATATAGAGTTGGTAGTAGTTCTACAACATCCTTGAATTATTTAATGTGTCCAAAAATCGACCTAGTATAGTATAGAGTTGGTAGTAGTTCTATATCATCATTGAGATATTCAATGTGCAAAAAAATCGACCTAGTATACTGTATATAGTATAGAGTTGGTAATAGTTCTATAACATCCTTGAATTAATCATAGTGCCCAAAAATCCAGCTATACCACCAGGTGATGATGGTGCTGGTGCCCCACGCAAGGCGGGAAGTGATGCACAGATCATGAAGAAGGCCCGGGGGACAGGGGCAGCTGGATTCGGGAAGAACCTGATTTTGTTCTCAAACTGTCCAGAAAGCAGATCCAAGAGTCAAACAACACTTTGAGTTTGCTTTGTTCTTCTAGTATTTCGCAACAACATGCAACCTCCTCGTGATCTCTTTAAGGTTTCGTTTTTTCCAAGCCTGCGTAAAGCATCCCCAAGACATCTTAACACCCTGAAAATACATGATCCACATCCCTCTTTTCCTTCCTTCGTTCCAGATCCGTTCGTAGCTTCTTGTTACAGCAAGAATGCGGACCTTGGAACCTTTCACTCCGACCCGTCGCCTGCGTGGCACGGCTCCAGGTGGCCACCCGGCTCCAGGACTTCGAGTCTCAGATCACTGCGCAGCTCTCGAACCTGCAGACCGACTTCGCCCGGGGGCCCCGGTAGATCGCGCGCGGCGGTCGTGGCGGTTTGGAAGATCTTCTTTCGAAATCGAAACACCAGAAGTGGCCGTGACCTGGAAACTGAAGTGACCTGGATTGAACCTGATTGACCATCCAGTGATCCCAAAAAACAAAAACCTCCCATTGGGATCTGAAGTACACATCGATGATAGATTGTCTATAACGATATTATTGAATCTTTGTTACACTGGTGGCTTTCCTGGGTTTTTCATTGTTTTTTTATGTCTTTTTTTCAATGAATTCCTCAATGAATCGTTGATTTCCCCCCTAAGCCGAGCGTCTTCTTCCGGCCTTTCAGGACAAGAAGCTGAGCCACGTGAACCGCGGCGCCAGCTCGACGAAGCCGGTGGACGGCGCCGGCGGGGCGGCCGGGCTGGACACCATGGCCGAGGCGGCACGGCCGGGCACGGCGTGTCGCGCCGCCGGGGGTTTGGTTGGTCGAACGAAATGGGTTGGGTGGGGTTTTGGGCCCTATAGGCCCTAGGGGTTTGTTGGGTAGGAGGATTTCAGGTCATCCCCAGGTCGAACGAAATAGGTTGGTGTTGGGTTGGGTTTTGGGCCCCTGACAGGGTTGAAATAAAATAGTCCGTGACCTGTAGAGTCGGGTGCTGGTGTGTGATGGTTTGTGGTTTCAGTGGTTTGTTTGCTGAATGGAAGGATCCAGGTGCTTCTCTGGGAGGGAACATGGAGAGTCGGGTGCAGGATTTCAGTGAGGTCAACCCCAAAAAGGTGAGCACAATCTCTCTGTCTCTCTATCATCTCTATATGTCTATAATATATATGTATATATCATCTCTATCATCTCTATCGATCTATATATATATAATATGTATAATGTCCTTTCAGAAAAACTGGTATCACGACTCCTTCGGGTTCGATCCTGGACTTGAAACCCGGATTGCGAAAGGGGTTTCGTTCCAGAGTTGAGCGAGCGAGCGAGCTCGAGAGTCGTACGGAGGAACGAGCCGCGGATCGAGCCGCTTCAGGACTTGGATCAATTGAAGTACGACGTGGGCGAACTGAAGGATCTCCTGGGCCTGGCGGCACAGACGGCGCGCGCGTGCTCTGCGGTGCTCTCGCCGTGCCGTTGGCGTTGGTGGGAGGGCGTGTGTGTGGTGTCCAGAGTGGTGTTTTCCAAGACGAGGTTGAGGTGCAAGACCTTGGTCTGGTGACGAAGAGGACCTAGACCTTGGGGGTGTCCCATGACCTGCAACTAGTCGGTAAACAATTGATATAGAGAAAGGCCTGCAACCTGAGCATCATCGTCCACTGTTGCTGGGATTTACCATACTACCCAGTAACCAACGCAGATCCTTTTAGGCCTAGTAGCAAGAAGCTACTCTTGCTATCGCCAGTAG